TTCGTTTTTTAACGCATTGCTTTGGCTATAAATTTGAAATTTTGTTTCTTGAGAATCTTTATTTCTTCGGGTTCTCTTTATTCTCAAACTTTAAAAATAAACATTTTCTTTTTTCTTATTTAATTGCAGGACAAGTATGCAATAAGTTAATGTGCACTAAGAATAACCAAATACTTCTTGTAACACTCCGCAAGCACTAAACTAAACTTGAATTTACCTCATAGACTTTATGACAAATCAAGAGGGATTTTCTTTTTCATTTTTAACACATTTTTGCAACGATAGATCTTAAGTTTTGTTTCTTCCGGATCTCTCAATTCTCAAGTCGTTAAAAAAAAATTTTTTTTCTTCTTCTTTAATTACAGAAAAATTATGCAATAAGTTAATATGCACTAAAAACAGCTAAGAATCAAAGTTCTTCTAATTTGTATCACTCCGCAAGCACCAAAATAAACATGTTTCATTTACCTCATAGCTTTTAATCGAGTTTATAGCAAATCAAGGGTCAAGTATTCTTTTTTTTAAACTCGACAAAATATAACAACGATAAATCCTCTAAGTTTTGTTTAAGTTTATTTCTTCAGGATCTATCAATTCTAAGCCGTTAAGGAAATTTTATTTCCCTCTACTTTAATTGCAGAAGAAGTATGCAATAAGTTAATGTACACCCAAAACAGCTAAGAATCAAACTTCTTTTAATTTGTAACATGCCGCAAGCACTAAAACAAACAGGTTCCATTTCACTCATAGCTTTCAACAGAGAAATACGTTGCAAATTCGTTCCATTTCTTAACAAAATATCAAGATAATAAATATGAAATTTTGCTTTTATGTTATTCATTTCTTCGGGTACTCTTGATGCACAAGCTATTAAAGAAACTAATAATGTTCCATTGATAGAAACTGTTAGAACAGCTTCGATAATTGCCACTTTTCCAGGTAAGAACTCAGTTTCGTCTAAAACTACCACTAAAACTGTGAACAGACCAGTAAAAAAATTTAACATTATCAGGAAGATAGGGATTTTGATGCAGTTGTCCAAAGCTTCGCAGCAATCAATTATCGATTGGTATTTTCGAATGCTCTCATACATGCTACCATGAAGATGACATTCTTGTATGATTTTGCCTTGATATTTCAATGCCCGGCTCAGATCGTAGGTAATGAGAGAAAATATCAGTTGGCATATTGAAGGAATAAAATACCTCCCGGTAAAATACACTGTCATGAATATAAACACTAAAAAACGCTCCAAATATTTATTTAAAAAAATATCTTTTCTCCCCAAGAACCAGAAGGCAATGAAATCTCTACGTTTTGAGTGCGCTAAAGCCATTTCGATATTCATAGGTAAAGTAAACCAAACTGGTGTCAATATAATAAAAACAACTAAAATATTGATTATGAAGCTATCCTTTATCTTAAGGATTCGTTTTATTTCGGACAGTTTTAGTAAGAATTTATAAAAATGTCTGGATCTGACTCGCATATGATGCCAAGCTGCTATAGACAAAGTTGCACAGGATAGCCCGACTACATTTATTTTCCTAGACAAAGTACTTGCATCATTTGGCAATTGAGAAATCATTGTGTAGATATATATTACGTGTATGCACATACTGTTAAACGTAAACAATTCTTTGAAATAGTCCCGTGCACTTAAAACATTCGACCGTTTATAGGCAAAGTTCCAATTGAATCCAATTAATGGCAAAACAGTAATCATAATATTTTTCTTTTTCAATGACCAAGCACTATTCACGGAGTTGTTTGTGGAAGTAAAAATTAAATTTTCTTTGATATTAAAACGCTGCATGACTTCAAATATAAATGAAATTTGAAAACTATTCACTATAGGCTACTTCTTCATATTTTTATACAGCTATAAAAATCTTCCTACTATTGCACATTTTTTGTCCGCTAGTTGAGACTGTCTTAAATCAATAAGGTATTTACTTAGCTTAATAGCATTTAAGAAATGATTGATGGGAATATCAGCGTAACTCAAATGTATTTCCTGCATTACTTGATTGATTCATTACATTAGTTAATACGCATAATCGATATTAACTTCTTTTCTTCAATTTTTTCGTTTTTCAATTGGTACATTAACGTTTTAGAGCTAGCTTTTTTTTAATTTAGGTTTTGCAAGCAGGAAAAAAAACAGTTTGAGTACTGTAATTAAACGTAGAGCTTTAAGAGTATTTTTCATGTAGATTATCGTGCTAGTTTAGCGAGTGAGAAAACGGACAAATATTTTAAGTATTTAAAACGATATTAAAATTATTTGCTACTATAGTGCGTGCAAGGAAAACACAGACCGAAAGTAAACAAATAGGTTTCCAGAATCTTTTTGAAATGACGGGCACTTGGGGTTTGTCCCATTGGCCACAGAAATGCTACTCTCTTCTCGTTACCCAGTAGGCACCTGTGGCGATGCCACGACGGTGGAGCAGCGTCGCCCACGTCACACCACCAACCCCTTTATAGGGCGGGTCACATTCACACAGAGAAAAGGACATTTTGTTATGGGAACATGGAGGACTTTACGATTCGACAGAATTTTAACGTGCATCAGTCACAAAGTTTACGGCAAGTCTTCGGTCGGCGGGGTTCGAACCCACGAACTCTCGGACATGGGCCCAGCTCCCTACCGATCAGGCAAGGCCGTAGCCAGGGTATTTTTTCGGGGGGGGGATAAGAAGCAAGGACAGTTTCAGACATGTAAAGTAGGAGAAAAACATTGTAACAAATATTGTTTATTCTGTTGTTGGAAAAAGTTAAACTGGTAGTTAAAAAATTTTACATAATAATTATTTTTCAATTAATATTGCGTAATAATTATAATCAATTTGTAAACAAAGTTTACAAAGACATGCGACGGGGAATTGAAGAAAATTTTTCGATTACTTTTTTAGGACAAATCGGAATATCCCGAAATATGCTTAATAAAGTTAGCCCTGTTAGCCTTTCTTCTTTAGTAGCATTTCTTGTTGCTGTTTTTACGCGTTTAAGAGTAGAAAAAGTTCTTTCTGCAGTTGCTGTGGTGATTGGCAACGTAGCCAATATTGATAACAAGTAATAAATGTGTGGGAAAAAGGTACTGTCACATTCTTCCATTGCTGAAAGTGCCGTATCTGGTCTACTAAGGGGCTCACGCAGGTTCCACTTTGATGCCCATACTTCCATTTCTCCCATGAGGCTTTCGATGTCAATGAAATCTACGTAGATTCAGAAATTGCATAAATTAATATGCTGAAAAACAATTGATTTCGGGGGAGAAGTCTAACCGAAGGACAGATGAGGCACAAGGTCAAGTGAAGTCATGGGTGCAAGTTGGAAAAAAGGCCAAAACTGAAATTTTTTTTGACTGAAATACCTAACATACACAATACCCCCTCGACATATGCAAACTATCTAAGAAAGCTTTACCATAATACATCAAGTTTAAATACTGTACAAAAAATATTTATTCATCTGTCTTTTGATAAAATAACAACAGGACATAAGAAAGCAGACCAATAACGTAGACCTAAAAAATAATTTTAAGGACAGAAAAAAAAATAATTCCGATTTCCGTCTTCGAGTCAGTCTTGTTTCCGTCTTACTTCCGCCCGCGGACATTTTCGAAAGACGGAAATCCGTCCTGGGGACGGAAGACTTGCACCCATGAGTGAAGTTGATGCACTAGCGAAGGTGGTGTACTGGGAAAAAGTTTTGATTCGACAGTTTTTGTTTTTCGTTTTACTGAGAGGCTCAAAGAAAGACTAAAAAGTTAGAATCCCAGAATTTCGGGGGGGGGGGATTTGTCCCGACGCCCCCCCCC